TTTTGAAGGTACTCCTTTGCCGTCCCCTGGTATCTGCAATTACTACTGAAATGTCTAGTCCTGCTTTTTTTTTTTTTTTTATTTCCATCCCTTTATATAAAGGATAACCATACAATTTGTTGCCAAAACTAAGCGCTAGCCTGACAGAATATTCGAGTGACAGGCATAAACCAGAGCTCTGTCGGGTAAACATGAACCTGTGGCTGCCCTCTGTGTCTGTGACCTATTTTTTTCCCTTAACTGTTTGAGGTCGTTTTTGCTTCTTGTGTGTGCCACGTGTTACGCTGGTATATGTTGGCAAAGGTCTTTTTCCCTTCTATATTGTACTAGGTCTTTGCAGGTTTGTTCCTGTTCTTTGATTCAGAAATTTTCAAAACTGTTTTAAACCTTTTCTTCCAGCCTTTGTTAGTCAGATGTTTAGCTGTCTGAGTTGTCACCTAAATTTTTTTCTTCTCTTGAAAATAAGCAAGAGGATGTTATCTTTTTGCCTTTTAGTTTTATATATGAAGTTTTTTCAACATTTTTCTTCCACTTCTGTTGAATTTTTAATTTTTTTGTTTTCTTGTTTGAGTCTTTTGTTACACCAGCCTATTCTTGTGGAAGTGCACTTTCACTTCCCCAGGGGTCTTGTGTAAGTTCCCCCCTCTGTCTGTCTCTCTTCCTCCTCCTCCTCCTCCTCTCTCCCTCTTTTCTTTTCTTTTCTCTGCTCTCTCTTCTTTTACCTCTTTCCCTTTTCCTTTTTCCTTCTTCCCTTCTTTCTTGTGTTTCCTACATTGCTCCCTTGAGTCTTTTTTTTCCAGATTTCTATTTGTTTTTCTGTTTGGTCTATGTCTGAGGGTTTTCCAATGTTGGTAATTGTTTACTGTGTTTATATTTAAGAGTGAGGCATTAAAAAGGTTATTTAGAATCCCTGAAGCCTGAGCAGAGCTTCTTGGCTTCCTTAAATATAATTATGCTATGAACTAACCTCTTGGATTGACTACTTTCAAATGTCAGAACTTGTATCCTGGCTCATTTATGCTGCTGTAACAAAATATCAGAGACTGGGAAATTTATAGAGGACAGCAGTTTATTTTCTCACATTCTGGAGTCTGGGAAGCCCAGATGAAGACATCAGCAGGTTTGGTTGTCTGGTGAAGGTTGCTGTCTGCTTCCAAGGTGTCACCTTACTATTGATACTCAGAGGCGTGCTGTGTCCTCATGTGGCACGAGGTGGAAGGACAAAAGGGAGGAAGTTCCTTCACTAAACTCTTTTATAAGGGCACCTGTTACCTTCTACTCTTCCCAGTATGGTTATGCTGGGGATTAAGGTTCCCACATATGAATTTAGGGGAACACAGTGAGACTATAGCTTCTAGAAATCTTTTGGGGAAGGGGAAAGCTATTCAGCTTTTCCAGAAAACACTCCTCCCCCTCCCCACCCAGGAAATTCTACAGATGAGCACTAGCATTGTGTAAGTGGGAGCAGGGAAACCTTAGAAGGTACCCGAGATTAGCATAAAACTTTAGACTCGCACCTTGCCCCACCTATTGTATTTCCAGCCTAGTGCTTCTGAATTCAGTTTTTCTTTTCTGCTAGTGACAGGAGAATGGTAGGGATGGTTAGCATGTGGCTGTACCCATCAGAGGGGGTACTGGAGAAGTGACTCCACCCTGTGGCTTCCTCCCACCTTTCTTGGTAATGCCCCATGAAGAGCTGATCCTCCCAGGGACCCCACAGGCCTAAGTGGCTCCACCCTCATCTTTACTCCCCCAGGCACTCAAGTGGTGATACCTTTTACTGTCTTGGGAAATAAGTTCTTATTATCTCTCTCTCTCTCTTGTTTCTTATGGGTTAATACATTTATTTTATTTCTGAGCTGTCTTTCAAAAGGGTTGAGAAGGGAGAGAGGTAATTCATTGCATTTAAGCTTCCATTTTTAACTGACCATAGTGTCCATGTTTTTTAGTTCAAGTATCATAAATGGTGGGTGCCAAGCGTAGTGCAGTGGAATACCTGTGATCCTAGCTTCTTGGAGGCTGAGGCAAGAGGATCACAAGTTGGAGGCCAGCCTAAGAATTTAGTGACGTCCTGTCTTAATAAGTTTTTAAAAAGGGCTGGGGATATAGCTCAGTGCTCCCTGGGTTCAGCACCAGCACTGCAAAATAAATAATAAGTAAAAAGTGTTGTAAATGTTGATTACATGCTCAAGTAGTACGGTCAGAGCCATTTCTCATGTATGCTTTTAGGGGTTGATTAGGTTTTGTGGGCTGACCTGGAAACCTAACTTCATCTATAATTTTCCCCTGGAGATACAATCAAGCCTTTTTGAGTTGGCTTGAAAGAGATGCGACTAGAACAAAAAAATTTCATACACTTCTCCATTTTCCAAGTCTCATAGAAAATTACTATACATATTGTGTCATCCTGATTAAAATAATACTATTATTAATAATATTAAAATAATTTTGAAATAATAGTAACTGTACTAGGAACTTGAATTTTAGTGGAAAAGTTTGTTCATACAGTAAAACTATAAAAATGGAAGCAAGGCTGGACATGGTGGCACATGCCTGTAACCTCAGCATACTAGGAGACTGGGGCAGGTGGATTGCAAGTTTGAGCCCAGCCTGGGCCATTTTGTGAGACCCTTTTGCAAAATAAAAAGTGCTAAGGGTGTATCTCAGTGTGAAGGCTCTGGATGTATCCCCAGTACCAAAAACAACTCCCTCAGATGGAGGGCGTAGCTCAGTGATAGAGCATTTGCCTAGTAAGCAGGAGGCCCTGGATTAGATCCCCAGCATGGCAGAACAAAACAAAACTCACCTCAGAAGCAAAATAAAATTCTTCAGGAGATAGCTCTAAAGCTTCATTTTTCAGCAGCCTTTTTGAAAGCAGCTTTCCTAATTAAATTTAACTCCAGTGATAATGATAGCTGTGGGAAATAGTAATGGCTATTGAAATAGTTTTTGATTTTTTTTTTACCCTGTTTTCTCTTTTCTACTTTGGACACAACAGACTCTTGAAATCTTAGACTGAATAAAGTTAGACTTAGCCAGATAGACCAAGAACATCTTCTTAATCATGAATGACGTACTTGGGTAGTGAAAAAGCAGCCCCGGCTGTGGGTGATAGAGTGCTTGGAAGTAAATGCTGCGCCAACTTGGCATGTGAATTACAGAGGCCCCTGCAAGTGTCATAGATCTGCAGCTGCTCAGCTCCAGATTCCAGCCTTTGTCAAGGACATGTGGGGCTCTCTTCCAGATGAGATCTCCCCAGTGCCGGGGCAGTCATCCGTGAGCCCTTGGTCCCTTGTATCTGTAACTGCTGCATCTTGGGGGATCACGGATGGTTAGGAGAGCTAGGAATAGTGGTTGTAATCTTGTGAGGCTGGAACAGGTAAGTTAGGCAATCAAATGCAGCCATTCCATTATTTTCCTCCTTTTTATTATTATTAACCCCACCCTAGCCGCCTATTCCCCCTCTCCTGCTTTTGACAGTATGTTGAGTAGGAACCAGACGCCCACGTCTCCTCAGCCTTCGGGGCAGCTGTTTGCACCGCAGCAGCGTTACACAGGTTTACTGTGGCGTGTGTCTGTGTAACACTGGATTTGGATCTTGTATTTAGCTGCCAGAAGTGACTGTGATGAAGTAGGAGAGATAAACTGATAGATTGGCTGCCAGAAAGATGTTGAGAATCAATCTGATAAACAGGGTAGAGAAATAGCTTGCTGTTTTCTAGTGATAATAAACCAGTGGCCTCTGGTCCTTGCATTTTTAAACGTAATTGCTGTGGTAATAATGTTGAAAATAAGCAAATGAAAAAACATCACAGGAGGCTTTTTAATTGCAGCTGAGATATCCTTTTCCCTTTTGCAATAAAGATTCACCTTACAGAAGTATTTTTATAAATTTGTTTTACTTCTTCCAGTGCCTAGTTACATAAACAAATGAGAACTAGAAGTGAACTACTTTCATAGGAATTTATTTCTTCTTTCCTTCCGCCCACAGACTTCAGCTATTCAGCGTGGTGAAATAGCTGTTGCTGCCATGCCTTCCTTACCTACAAAATAATTGCTTATTTTTGTGAAGAACCAAATGTTGGAGTCAAATGTGTATTACTGATGAATGATGTGCAGGAACCAGTTTGTTTTAGTATCGTCCGTTAGGTTTCTCTGGGATCGTTTGGCATGTTAATCTCTGTTGCTGTTTTTCTATATACAGCACTTACGTAGGAGAGGCGATATCTGGAGTCATTGTTGTAACTTAAAAGTGTCCTCCCTTAATATTTAACTTTAAGGTCCATTGCTTCTCTTCACATTCTTAAGTCTGTGTTCCCCTTAAGTTAATTGTTCAGGATAAGAAACTGGCCCTTGTGTTGTACTTGCAGTGCGTACAAATTACTTTGTTTTGGATCCTTAAAATTTTTCTGACTATTAACGTGTTAGTGTCTTGTCTGGTTAAGTAACCTGATGCCTCGCATGGTAGAGTATCCTCTATGGAAAGCAAGAGTGTGACGTTTACCCTCTTAATTACCTACTGTCAGGCCTTTCTGAGGAGTATCTGCCCAACTGTGGGAGCTTGTAGACCAGAAGTTAACCGTGCAGCTGTCCTATTGGTGGGAAGCCGATGTGTTTTCCTTTTTGCCACACAGACCTTCCCGCCTGACCTTTTAAAGATTCTCCATTGATATCGATGGGGTGGACAGAACTAATCATAAAAACAATGAAGGGAATGTTGCACACTCATTGATCCATTTGAAATGAACTGCAGCACAATAAGTCTTCCAAATGGACTTCTGTTCTCAGCTATTGCTGTAGCCGCCTTTTAAAGATATATAAATATGAAAGGGTTAATGGGAATTCAGTCATGCTCTTGCCACTGGGTTGTCCCTTATTGATTGTAGTTTTAGAGCTGTCAGTATGCCATTCAGAATTCCTTCTGTGCCCTTTTAGAGTCAGTTGGTGCTGGGAGATGATAAATAAATCAGTTTCTTTTCTCTCCCCGCTTCCCCCCACAGCTCCTCCGAGAACTCATAGAACGGAAGACCAGCTCCTTGGATCCCAATGATCAGGTGGCCATGGGAAGGTAATTTCAGTAGTTTTCTGCTCGTGCAAGCTGACCATGTAATAGTTTCTCCCTTTGAGTCCCCTTAATTCTGCCTCCAAGGCAGTGATTGGTCCTGTAATTATCAAAGTTAAGTGAGATACTAAGAAGTAGAAAGACAAAGTGACTAATTGTAACTACTAAAAGTAACTGCATTGCCTTAAGTATGATATGAAACGAGATTATGAAAAACCTGTGTTCATATTAGGGTTTGCTTTTCAAAATCTTCCTTATGCTCTTTGCTCTCGGGTTTGGGTTGTGATTGTCTCCATATCAGTCTGCTGACCAGTGGATAAAAAGCCACCCCAACATGTGCTTTCAGCTGTCAGAATGTGGCACTGTGTACAACAGGTTCCTTGCTTGAAGTCGATCTGCTTTGTTAGTCTGCCGTAATTTAGACCTCCCCCCTGCAGTAAAAGCTTCAGCACAATTAGAAATGGAACGTGGCAGCATTACCCAGATGTCAGGGTAGAATGTAAAGTAGTGAAGGAAGGCTCTTGTGTGTATGCTTCATCCTGTGGTTGGAAAATAAAAAGGGCATTTAGAGTGCTACCTAATGAATAGTGTACATTTAAATAGCCCTGAGCCATAATTTGCAAAAGCATGAAAGGAAACAAAAGCTGCAAGTGCCAGAATGGGATTCTGGGCCGAGCAGCATTTTGAGAAAGCAATGAAAAATTTGTGTTGATGAAATAATTTTATTTGAGAAGAATATTATTTGAATTTTAGGGTAGGATGTTGTTGATATTTCATGTATGTCTGGAACGTTGTAGAGGGCTGTTCACCATAAATTTAATGTGATAGACCAAATTGCATTTAAGTGATGATTATATTGTACATTTATCTGACTTTACAATAAAATAGATTATGGTAATTAAGATTATATTAAGATTACAGTAATTGGATTTTCTTAGATTTTTTTTTTTTTCTTCTGGCGTTGAGTTTTTGTTGTATAAATCAGGTATGATGACTGGCTGCTGCTGTGGCTGCTATTTTTCCTCCTCTTTTCACGTTTGTTCACAGGAGCAATTTGTGCAGAATTTTCTTAGCCCGGTATTCCTTATTTGAAAAATTAATTTCTTCTTATCTAAAATGACTGCAGAATATATGAATCTTGTGTGGATCCTTATCCAAACAAACCAACTGTAAAATTGAGACAATCTGAGAAATTTGAAATCCAACTGAATATTTGATAGTAAAAAATTATGTTTTTAGGTGTGAATGGTATTGAGCTTATATTGAGGAGAGGAGTCTGTATCTTTTATCAACATACACTGAAATATTTATAGATTAAGTGAAAATAAATGACCATAAGACTGGTATTAGTAGTGGATAATTATTTAAAATAAGCAGAAACTAGCACAAGGAAAAAACACTTGAATGTCAGCAGAGGAAACATTAGATTTAAAGACTCTCGTGTTCCTTCCAACCAGTTGCTGTTAGAGAAAGTGCTACACAGCTGAACCGTCAGGAGATCCGAGCAGCTGTATTCGAGCTGATGGGTCTTCCTGCACACTGGTAGATTTAGTGCTCGTCACAGCAACTCCACATCCTAAGAAGCATTGTTAACCAGATTTGCTGTAGAATCTCCCAGCTGCTATTTGTGTTTTACCTTTGCACAAATCCTCTTCAATTGATTAGTCACTTTGGCCCCAGACTATGTTGAGGAGTTTGATGCTTTCTTTCTGCAGGGTTGTTAGTGAGAAAAATTCCAATTTGTCCATATGTATAACTCTTTCTGTTAGTGATGATGCATAACATTGCTTGTGAATTTCCCAGGCAGTGGCTGGCAATCCAAAAGCTACGAAGCAAAATCCACAAGAAAGTAGACAGGAAAGCCAGCAAAGGAAGGAAACTTCGGTAAGTTGATTTTTGGAAAAATTTAAACATGTCGTTTCTTCTCTGTATTTTGGCAATTATATCATTTTTCTCTTTCTTCTGGTAATTGTTTTGAAGGATCATAAAAATAATAACCAATATTTCCGGTTTTGGTGACTCAGCATTTTTTTACTCTAGAATAGAAATATAGTTTCACTCACTTTTTCTTCTTTTGTTGTGAATGAATGTACTATTTCCTTGTAAGAGAAAGAATAAAAGCCAAGCATGGTGGTGCACGCCTGTAATCCCAGCTTTCGGGAAGCTGAGGCAGGAGGATCCTTGCGAATTCGAGACCAGCCTGGGCTACAAAGTGAGCTCAAGGCCAGCCTGAACTGCATAGTGAGACCTTGTCTCAAAAAGAAAAAAAAAAGAGAAATAATAAAACAAAGGCCAGAAAGTTGAAATTACATTGGTTTTAAAAACATATAAGTGAAGGGCTCCAGAGAATGTTAACAGTGTACATATGTGAGGTTAGAAATAGTTTCTAAAATTTTTATTTTTAGCTGGGTATAGTGGTGCACACTGATAATCCCAGCACTTAGGAGGCTGAGGCAGGAGGATTGCTGCGAATTTGAGGCCACCTGTGCTACATAGTGAGACTCTAGTGAGAAAGATTTTGAGCAGAGGAATGTTGTCATCACTTTTGCATTTTAGAAAGACAGTTTTAGGGTGTTGAAGTGGACTAGAAATTCATGAGGGCAAGAGCTGGGAGGAATGAGAGATGATGGTGTGAGAGATATTAACACAGGTGAGTAGTTTGTACTTAAGAGTACATGTGGGGCCAGGGATATAGCTGCACAGCATAGCACCTGCCTGGCAAGCACAAGGTCCTCAGTTCAATTCCTGGTTCCAAAAAAAGTACACGTGAAAGGACAAGAGAAGGTGAGAATGATTCCTAGAGTTTCAGAGGGGTTTGGATAGATTACGGTATTATTGATATGTGTCTACTGCAGGGAGGGAATCAGTGTTTTGTTGTTGGAGGGTCTGAGGCTTTTTGTTTCCGTGTAGTGATGAAGATTGAACACGGAGGCCTTGCACATGTTAGGCAAGTGCTGTACCACTGAGCTACACCCCCAGCCCTAGAGGCAAATTTCTGAGTTGAAAGGAGGATTGCCAGGCATGGTGGCTGTGACCGTTTAAAGCTAGATGACCCTCAATAGCCTCCTAGGCGGGGCCTTATATGACTATTTAATTATGGGTGGGGGCTTCTAGCTGGCTGGTGGTTAGGAGGAGGGGACTGGTTGGAAGAGGCAGTTACTGGGGGCGTGGCCCGGAAAAGTTTCCCTCCCTGCCTGGCTCCTCTCTTCACTCTCTGGTTCCTGACCCTCGTGCTCCTCTGCTGTGCCTTCCTGCCCTAGAGCCAGCTGACTATAGAATGAAAACTCTACAGACTGAGCCCAAAAGCTGGGCATGGTGACACACACCTGTAATCCCAGCACTCAGGAGGCTGAAGCAGGAAGATCGCTGTGAGCCCAAGGCCAGCCTGGGCTACATAAGCAAGTTCAAGGCCAGTCCGAACTGCATAGTGAAACCCTGTCTCAAAAAAAAAACAAAAACAACTGACCCAAAAAAAGGCTTACCTCCTTTAAGTTGTGGGTGTCAGGTATTGAATCTCAGTGATGAGAAAGTGGTACACTCCTAAAATCCTGTACCCTGGGAGGCTGAGACAGAAGGATTGTAAATTTGAACTCAGCCTGGGCAGCTTTTCAACTTAGCAAGACCCTGTCTCAAAATAAAAAAGAGCTGAGTATATAGCTCAGCAGGAGGGCCCTGGATTCAATCCCTAGTATGGGGCGAAAATGACATACATATTTATAGTTTGGAAACAATTTGCTGTTTTCCAAGGAGTGTGTAGTGTGACACAATCTAGCATGACAGTAATAAAGCCCTAAGGAATGTCAGCATACAGAAGATAAAAGAAGATAGAAAGAACCCATAAAGAATGCTGAAGCAGAGTGGTCATTGAGGTAGGAGGCCAGGAGAGAGGAAGGTAAAGCAGTGAAAGCAGGAGTGTGTTGAATAAGGGACAGCAAGACAAGTCAAGTAGGGTAGGGGTGTTTGCTTTCTGAACACACTTCTCACCCTGAGGTTCTCTTGGCTACTGTGGAACCTCAAACCAAAGGGCTTTCCAAACTTGAAAAATGTATAGAATGTTTACATTAACATTTACTGTGTTGATGGATTTATTTCATAAAAGCCTTTTGGATGCCCACTGATATGCCATCAAAAGGTCATGCCCAATACCACTTAGTAAATATAGAAGGAATCAGAGAAACAAAGTCACCACTAGGTCAACACCACTGTAACCATTTTTGCAAGCCAGATCTACCAATACATGCTCAAATCACCAGGCAAATATTTGAGGAGATGATATATTTTTCTTGGTCTTAAAGTAGCTCTCCCAAGGGCTGGGGATTTAGCTCAGCGGCAAAAGCGCTTGCCTGGCAAGTGCAAGGTCTTGAGTTCGGTTCCCGGTACCGGAGAAAAACCAAAAAAAAAAAAAAAAAAGTAGCTCTCCCAAGATATTACCAATTACAGAGGAATAAGTCATAACTTTGTAATAGAAAAATTCAGCAGTTACCACCTAAACCAAGTGTTCAAGATCAACACCACCAGTAATATGAAATATCCTCCTCCTGCTGTCTTCGGTAGGAGGATACGTTTTCGGGGTGTGCTTGCCAGAAATTCCCCACCTCAGCTGCATCATAATACAGCATCGTACACACTCTAATTGTGAGACATTCTATAAAATAACTGAATGAGTGCCCTTCCAGAGTGTCAAAATAATGACAATACAGGAAAGAATGAAGAACTGTCACAGGTTGGCAGTGACTAAGCAGACAAGTGTAATATGGAATCTTGAGAAAGGGTACTAATGTAAAAATTGGTGAAATTTGAATAATATATGTAGCGTAGTTATTATAGTAACATTAATTTCCTGGTTTTGATAATTATGCTGTATGTATGTAAGTTAAACCTTAGTTACAGGGAACTGGATGGGAGTATATATGAGTTCTTTATACTCTTTTTACAACTTTTCTTTAAGTCTGAAATTATTGCAAAGCAAAAGGAAAAATAAGAATGTCATGTGTATCGGATTTTTTGTTTGTCACAGGTGCTCACTTTGCTTTCCTTTTGACCATAAAGGTGAGGGGTGCAGTCAGGTCAGAGAGAACATTTCACTGATTGTGAGAACTGACATACCTGGAACTCGAACAGGTAGGCACTGCTGAGCAACATGTGCGCAGCGGCAAAACAGCACAGACTCCAGAGCCGAACTGTGTAGATTGGAAATCTGACTCTTCCGTTTATTGGCCTTGAGACCTTGAGCAGGTTGCTTTACATCTCTGTGCTTCAATTTCCTCGTCTATGAAATGAGTATAATAATTGAAGTCACATCTCATAGGGTTGTTATGCAGATTAAATGAACTAATTCGTGTAAAGTGCTTAGAGAAGATAAGTAACTTACCCAGCATTACAGAGCTGGTAAGTAGCAAACTGGGATTTGAACTAATTGGTCTGGATCCCAGAGCCTGTGCTTCTAACCTCTGGTTATTGAGTCGTTGCACAGGCAGGAGGACCAACTGGCCTGTGTAGGCACCAAAATGACATCGTGGCTACGTTAGCATCCTGTCCTAAAGGGTGAGATTAAGTGGGCCAGGCTAGAGGAGAGTATAGTTAAACCAGGTGCTCAGCTGATTTGAAACTCATCTCATTTGTTCTTGAAGCATTTCGTTGAGAAAATTTTGTCCTGGTACTGGTTTGTATGGTAGTGGACACTCAGACTAGAACCTTCAGATGTCAGCTGCCTTGTGACTCACAACCCTTTCCAGCAAAAACAGTTTGCTACGTACTCAGTGTTTTTGGTACTTGTCACGTCTCCCAGAGCCAATTAATGACCAGTACTAAAGCATCACTGTATTATAAGTCATTTTCTTCCATTAGATTTCAGAAACAGTAGGGTGTGCCAGCTGTTCTCACTGACAGTAGGTCTCACCATTGAACAGCTTTTGCTCTTTGTGATGAGGTTGGAAAGATATAAAATACAAATTAGTGTAAACTCATAGAAACAGTTTGAACAGCAGTTTAAGCAGGCTGGCTGTTATAAATGATAGCCTGGTCAGGCTGGGCGTGGTACTCACCAGCTAGATGCTAGAAAATAACTTATTTACAGAATGAAGCTGGGTGTGGTGTGCAGTGCACACTTATAATCCCAGCACTCAGGAGGCTGAAGCAAGAGGATCTTCACAAGTTGAAGGCCAGCCTAAACTACGTAGTGAGACCTTGTCTCCAAAAAAAAAGGGAGGGGGAGGGGTTTTGGAAATAATTATTGTCAGTAACTTTACAGAACATTATACAGAAGTGGAATTAACTATAAGTAGTAATGCAAATGACTTAAGCTTTCAGGCCTTTGATAGTGAGATGAGGCAGGGGGTGCAGCACACAAGTAGAGCAGCCCCGGGGCTCCATCCCCAGCACCACCCCCAAGAACAGGCAAGGAAGAGATGCTTTACCTTACCGGGCTCTCCCTCCACAGTGGAGCTACATTTGTCTTTTCTTAGTGTGGTTGGTGAGAGGTCTTCCAGTATGAAAGTACACACACATCCTTGGCAGCACTAGGAGCAGGTGAGATGCACTGATTCAGTCGTCTCTAATCTGATTACCCTCGTCTTTATGATTATCTTTTAAAGCCTGTCATCTTATAGTTAATAGTTCTTGTATGTGCTGTTCTAAATGCAAAGGTATTGTATAGAGTGGTGCCATCCAATAAAAATATGTATTACTCTATAATTTCTGGGTCTTTTTTTTGTCTTTTTGAGACAGCGTCTCACTGTGCAGTTCAGGCTGGCTTTGAGCTCACTTTGTAGCCCAGGCTGGTCTCGAACTCGCAACGATCCTCCTGCCTCAGCCTCCCAAGTGCTGGGATTACAGGTGTGCGTCACCATGCCTGGCTTACTCTATAATTTCAAATGTTCTAGTAGCCACATTTAAAAAGGAAAAGGAAAAAGCTGAACTTAACTTTAAAACTATATTTCATTTGAATATCAAGAATATGACTTCAGTTTATGATTTTAAACATTAATGGTATGTATTATATTATTGAAGTCTGGTATTAGTCTTACAGTACGTGTCAGTTCAGACCTGCCACAGTTTAGGTGCTAAATGTGTTGCGTGGTGGCAGTATTAGACAATACAACCACAGGGTATAAGTTCATGATCTTATTCCAGAAAATGAACCAAACTGTATTTGGAAAGAGCCAAAAACAATATTCATTTTTTCAGATGGGCACTTTGGTATGTGTGGTAAAGCCTAAAGACATTGAAAAAGTTTTTTTCAAACTTTTTGCAGTATTGGGAATAGGGTACCCAGTGCCTTATACATGCTAGACAAGTATTCTACCAGTGAACTACACCCCTAGTCCCTTTATGTGAATATTTTTGTGGGTTTGGATTTGCTTTGTTTTTAATGTGTTTTCTTGAGACAGTCTTTCTGTGTTGCCCCTGCTGGGCTTGATCCCTTGGGCTCCAGTGATCCTCCCACCTCAGGCCCCCAAGTAGCTGGGACTACAGGTGTGTGTCACCACAGCCAGCTGACTTTACATTTTATTTGATTACAGTGTTTATCTTTTATAGTTAAATAAATAGGTGCTATAAATATTTGTGGTCTTTACCTTGACAACCTTTGGAAGGGCATTTTGCTTCGGTCTTTTAACTTTATCTATGTATATGTTTTCTTTTTGGTATTTTTCTGGTACTGGGAATTGAACTCACAACCTTGTGCTTGCCAGGCAGGTGCTGTGCCGCTGAGCTAAATCCCCAGCCCCCTATGTATTTGTTTTAATTCAGCAATTTCACATCTCAAAATTTATCCCATAGAAAAATGTGAAGAGAGGCTAGGGATTTAGCTCAGCGGCAAAAGCGCCTGCCTGGCAAGCGCGAGGTTGTGAATTCAATTCCTGGTACCGGAAGAAAAACAAAACAAAACAAAACAAAAAAAAAAAAAGAAAAATGTGACGAGACACACACTAACTTATGTATGAGCGTCTTCATTTTGGCATTGTTTAATTTGGCATTGCTTAATACATTTTTAAAAGAGAAGCCCATCGATAAGAGAGTAAATAAATTATATTAATACAGTGAAATAATCTGAACTATGAAAAACAAACAGCACCTTTGGTTTGGTGGGAGGGCTAGCATAATGCCAAAAATATTCACAAATAGGAAGTGTAGTCATTCATAGCTTGGGGTGGGTATATTTTGAGAAATGTGTTGTTAGGCGATCTCATCACTGTGCGAACATTACAGAGCAGTGATGGCTTATCTTGGCTTATCTCAGCTTTCTGTGACAGTGAACAGCCCGCTGCAGCACATGCACCAAAAGTTTGCCCCTACTGTCCCCTGTCGTGGAGTGTACTTACCCTAGATGTTACAGCATGCCTCACACTAGGCGAGTGGTATGTTGTTGTACACGTGACCATTGTTGACCAGAATGTCATGCAGTACATGACTATATATATTACAGTCTTGTTTTTATATTAAAATGTATTGTTTCTACATGGAAAATACTATAGCCAAATTAACATTTTTAACTAACAGTGATTATTCCCGGGAAATAATAATACTGGGAATTTTTCAGTTCTCCGTCCATTATTGTACTGGGATTCTTTCTATAAGAATTATATAGTAACTTTATAACTAGTAGGTAGTAAGCAGATATTTCAGATATGATGATAGTTTTTTGATGTTTTTTTCCCATGTTATAAAGAGTGAAAAATTGGAAGCAATATACATGATTAAAAATTGGAAAATATATTATGGTATTTCCACTCCAGGAATTGTATGTGTCCATTCAGATACTGTTTAGGGAATAATACTAAGTGAATAACTGAAGATATGGAAGTTATGTGTGCATGTGTACATAAAAGTCACTAAAACAAATTGTCTATATGTTGAAGAACTGCAATTTTGTGTCAGCTTTATTTTCCAAATTTTCTGCAATGAATTTATACTTTTTTATTGAATTGAATAAAATGTAATCAGTGTTATTGTGAAACTCATTTGTTGAGGAAAAAAATGAAATTTGGGAAGCTTAATTATTTGATATATGTAAAAATGTTTCTAAAACTGTAAAACATTCTATACATGGAAAATAATTTTCATAGTGTTTTGCTCAAGTAGCCATGTCCAAGGAATACCTCATGAGTTCTTTATGGTATAATTTGGTCTAAGTAAGGTCATATATTTGTTCAGCCCTCTTTGGCAGGGAATCTCAGTACTCTTCATGCAAAAGTGCCCTTTTATTGTTGGTTGGAAATATAGGTACTCTAACTTAAATTTCTGTAACACCTCAGCTAAAGATTTTGGACTCAAACTTGGCCTAAATTCAGTTGGTTCCTTCATAAAGACAGAAATGAAAGCCCCTCTGGGGCTGCTGCATGGAGGTGCTGTGGAATCCAGGGAGCCTTTTCTCGCTTGGAGTCGGTGTCAGTGAGTGATAGTGTTGGCGAGGTATTACATTCAGGTGTTATATCACTACCTGTGCTATTGCCAGCAAGTAGCTTTAATGACACCGAAAAATGATGAAGATGTATGCAGAGGAGCAGAGTGTAGTCAGGTCCTCGTTGAGTTTTGTCTGGAATAATGTTCAAAGGTTTGTATATTGCTCAAAGGCACAAGTGTATCTACTCAATTTTTGAGTGGTGATATAAATGGATCTGTATTGAACTACTGTCATTTACAATGTACTGTTATCAAATTTTTTTCCTATAGCAATAAGACAAAATACAGTTGTGTGTGATAAGCATCTCTGAATTTTTCTCTGTTCTACTCTGGAGCCAAGTGTCCCTGTGATCAGTTCTGGAGTGGTTAACTCATAGGATACATTTCCTTTGCTAGGTTAATAGTTACTAATATCACTGATTGTTTCTGGCTTTGTTCAGGTTTCACGTCCTTAGCAAGCTCCTGAGCTTCATGGCACCTATTGACCATACTACAATGAATGATGATGCGAGGTGAGTAATAGATTAATTATATGTCTCAAATGGCTTCATGACAGCATGATATTGACCTGTTCTACACCCTGTCACCCCCTTGTTTCTTCTTATCAGTTAACCATTTGTCATTGGCATCATAGCAATGGGTCCTTGTCACATCTCTTTACTCGCATAATTACTGTAAAGCCAAATCAAAAATTTCCATAAATCTCAGTGCTGCCTCTGGTGCTTGGTTTGTTTTTGCTGTTTTGTTTTCAACTTTGTCAAGGACTCTGGGACATCCTAGGTCGTCTCTAAGAGGGTCAGGATGGCACATGTGGGTCCTGTGTGCACTGAGTTTTGTGCATATGCTTTCTGTAGGGTGGCTGTAGAGGTTGAGGCAGAGCTGCACATATACTGTATTTGTTGGGGCTGCCATTGAGGATTTTGCGTGTTTACAAAAGAAGTACGGTACATGCTCATTTTATAAAGCTGAAATGGTAGAAATACACACAGAAAAGAAATGGATACTCATATTACAAGGAGTAACTGATTTTTAAAGAATACTGTAACTTCTAGGAGTGAGGATGTAGCTCAGTGGTGGAGTACTTGCCCAGCATACGTGAGGCCCTTGGTTGGATCCCCAATATGGGAGTGGGTTCTTCTATGTTTAGTAATTGGCATCCTACTACTGGTTTCCTCTTCGCCCACATTTATTTAACATTCATTGATTTATTTTTAGTGATATGGACTCGTGTGTTCCTATTTTATTTAATGAGTTATTTTTGTTTGGATGTTAAAATTGTCCCAGATTAATGGCAGCCCCTTCAAGCTGGCTTGTGTCTTTCGAAGTGTCCCCAGTTGATCTTTGAGTATTTCTTTACTCTGGCACAACAGGACGTGCCACTCTTACACCTTCCCAGTGCGAGCTCTGCAGTCAGCCTTTCGTGTTCTTTGAGGTGGGTGGTCATCTTTGGAACCAAGATCTGGGCTCCGGCGGTGCTCCCTGTGAGTGGCAGTCATCATTTTCAGGCCCTGTCAGCATGTAACCCTGGCAAGGTGTGAATATACCTAGGCACAAACAGAGGATGACCGTGGTTAGCATCTCAAAGTGCTTCCTCTCAGGCTCTGTGAGTTCTCTTTTACTATGTGCTTGTTTTCCTAAATAATTGAAGTTATAGTTACTGTATTTTATATACCATGAGCATTAAAAATCTTAAAAAATTTGTTGGTCAATGGGATGTGGCTCAGGGATAGAGCACTGCCTGTCATGCACGAGGCCCTGGGTTTGATCCAACACCACAAAAATAAATAAAGTTTAAAAAGTCAAAAATTTTAAATGTGCAATATTTTTGTAATACTGTACTTATTTAGGTACTTACTGTTGGGATATTTAAAGTATTTTAAATTGTCACTGTGAATAATGTCATGGTAAACATTTTTAAACATATATTTACCAAGTGAATTATTGGTTATAATATAGACATACTGGAATTTTGGCAAATTATCCTTCATTTTTTGCTTGAAAATAGTTACTAACATTCCTTATCATGTTTTTATTCCACTTGCCTGAAAAGTGATAGGTCTTCAGGTTTAGGGAAACACAATTATTATTTTTGTTTTAATGCTTTGAATATGAAATGTTCAGTGCTTTGAATATGAAATATAGATTGTTCTGAGTACATTTACATCTGTCTTTGTGGTCCTATATGTTCTCCTGTGCTTTGAAAGCAAATGTATAGGTACAGCGTTTTTGTCTTTTGTTTTTTTTAAATCTCCATCCCCTTTTATTTTTCATTTTGAGACACAGGTCTGCTAGATCGCCCAGGCTGTCCTCAAACCTGCGATCCTCCTGCCTCACACCCCAAGGAACTGGGACTCTAGGCATGTGCCACCCTGCCGGCTGGTCTGTTTAGCCTTTTAGGAGTCAGGGTGCAATAAGTACACGTTAATTCCCTGTCAGAATGGCATGAAAAACTTACATTAAAAAGAGAAGAAAGCTCGATGTTTAAAACTAAACATAAGTCCTTCAGGTTAAAGTGAAAACTGGCTTAAATACTAGTGGCATCTTTTGAATATAGTCCCTCTAAATCGAAGTCAAGATTCTGTCATTCTTATTTAAGCTTTTTCTTACATAACCTGATACCCCAGAGATACTTACTTAGAATTTTGCATTTATTCATCATTTGCAGGATTCATTTAGACATAGAAATTATTTGAACCGGCTATGGTGGTACATGCCTGTAATCTCAGCATTTGAAAGTGGAAGCAGGATTGCTGTCAGTTCAAAGGCAGCCTGAACTACGTAAATAGTGAGACCCTGTCTCAAACAAAACAAAAATTCTATTTGAAAATGACTATCATAGAGGTTTATTTTGATCTACAAGAAACAATCTGACCTTAGTAGCGTACGTAAACGCAGGTTTATTTTTCTGAAAGGATCATTCTAGCAGTTAGACAGTTGTTAGCAGCGGCCTACCCTTTTCATGGATGTTAGGATCAGCATCTCTTGGTCTTTCCCTGGAGTCCCAAGATGGCTGCTGCAGCTTCAGCCACCATGCGTACATGGTGATGTTATGTGCCTTCCTCTCCTCCCCTCCCCTGCCCTCCCCTTTCCTTTCTTTATGCTGTGTGCAGAACCCAGGGCCTTGTGTGTGCTGGGTAAACGGTGTCCCACTGAGATGTGCTCACAGCCCCAGACAACTTTTCCTTGTACTTCACAGGCCACATCTGTAGTAAAGCAGGCAGAGGAGAAGGGCTTGGTGGGAGTGTACGTGTTGGGTGATACTCCGTGGCATTCTGTATGTATGGGGAAAAGGGCTCTCCTTTTTGGAATGGTTGCTAAATTATTATTGTTCTGTAGCTGGTTTAGCTGCTTAACAAGGAGTGCAATAATAGTCTTGTGACTGAAAAACTGAGCATTTCCCATTCCATGTGCTTCCTAAGGATAGCGAGGCAGGCATCCATATCACTTCTCTTGCTTTGTAGTTTGAATAAGCCAGGTTAACTGAGATGGTAAATGGATTCTAGCTCTTTCTTCTAGTATGAGACTTCCAGGGTCAGTTGTATTGGTCCTTTATCTCAAACAAGAAGTAGGTAGTAGAAACTTGCCCTGCTTTGTTTTTCTTCAGTGGAAAAACTAAAGTGGAAATAATCTAGTATAGGCAGCCCTCTGTCCATGGGTTCTGCATCCATGGATTTAGCCAGCTGCAAATTGAAAATACTTGGGAGGCTGGAGCCAGGAGGATCTCTGTGAGTTTGAGGCCAGCCTAGACTACATAGTGAGTCTAAGCCAGCCTGAACTACATAGTGAGACCCTGTCTAAAAAAAAAGAGAGAGAGAGAGAAAATACTTGGGGAAAAGTGCGTATGTTGTGAACATGTACAGACTTTCCCCTTGTTGTTCCCGAAGCAGTACAGTATATAGCTGTTTATGTAGCATTACATTGTATTAAGTATTTGGAGTAATCTAGAGATGACTGAACCTACGGCAGTGGTGGTGAATCCGTGGCACATGTGCTGCATCTGCCTGTTGTTTTCATTGAAAGTTCTGAAAGGTTCACCATCACTGACCTAGAGGATGCACATAGGTTATATACAAGTACTGTGGCGCTTTATCTGGGGGACTGGGGTATTGTTGGATGGCAGCTGTGGGGTGAGAAGGGGGGTTCTTAGAATTAATCCTCCAGAGACACGGAGGGACCATACTATGGAGGTAAACTTGTGCCATCATAGTATGTGCCCCATTTTCTACGCTGTAAGTGGGAGGCCTTCAGCTGTTAGAATATCCGTATAGCTGCACAGTACTTTTCCTCCAGTTTTGGTTTTGCTGAGTTACAGGTGTAACACTCTTGTGGGGGCAGTGCGCACATGCAACATTTGTTTGTGTGCGTGTTTATAGAACACAGTCTTTAGGTAGAGAAGGACTTTATCCAGCATGATACTAGGGCTAGAAACCATAGAAAGAAAATATCATTAAGGCTTGACTATAGAAAATGTGATTGGCAAAATCCTTTTGGAGGGTTAATAGGCATTGTTTTTCCACATTGTAAATGTATATATGTATCTGTTAGCCCCCACAAGAAATCTATTTCTAGAAGTTGACCTAAGGAACTAGCTATTGTGTCAGTGATCTTTAGTGCAACATTGTTTATAATGGTGAAAAGTAAGAAAACAGAAGATACTCATTTAAAGACTGATTGTGGTCCTGCGGCTAGGCTGTTAAATGAATTGGTTGCTAAATGAGGACTTGGATATAGTATGTACATTACAATATTCAGAACAAAGAAATGGTCAAAGGAAATGCCAACTTGATGACTTTGCTTTTATTTGCAGAACTCTTACATGCAGTATTATGTATAACAGCATAAAATTACACTATAGTACAATCAGCAAAACTTACAGTAGTGTATAAACAAGGTGTAGTGTACAAAAAAGGGGCTCTGTCAACAAAATGTATAGAACCGTACCCAAAAAAAGGCGGCTCATAGTCCAGACAGCATGCCTTGGTCTTAAACCCCAACAGTCTTCAAACAGGTAGGTCCTTAAATGAGGAATTTCTGTAATATGAATGACAGTTAATAGGAAACTAGTTAAATAGATCATAGTAAAATCATTCAGTGAAATTATAAGCAACTCTTAAATGATGAAGTAGAGCTGTGTAACAGTATTAAGTGGAAGAAGTAGGCCACATAAATACTGTGGGTTTTACTGTTTTTTGTTTTTTTTTTGAGACAGTCTTGCTATGTAGTTCAGGCTAGCCTTGAACTCACTATATAGCCCAGGCTAGGTCTGAACTCATGATAATCTTGCTGCCTCAGCCTCTCAAGTCCTGGATTACAGGCGTGCACCACTATGCCCAGCTATAATTCCTTTTTTTTAGGGGGATCTTTTTGAGACAGGGTGTTGCTGTGTAGTTCAGACTGGCCTTGAACTCACTTTGTAGCCCAGGCTGGTCTCAAACTCACAGGGATCCTCCTGCCTCAGCTGGAGGATATGCTGCTTATTTGCTGGGATTACAGGCATGTACCACCATGCCTG